GGGTTTAGGGCTCATGGGGTTTAGGGCTTAGGGCACATGGTAGGGTTTAGGGCTCATGGGGTTCAGGGTGTAGGGTTCAGGGCTCATGGGGTTTAGGGATTTGGGTTTGGGGCTTATGGGGTTTAGGGCTTGGGGGGGCTTTATGGGCTTTGCGGAATCAATTCACGGTCAGCGAAGGGCTGTGTCAGTTTGAAAGGTTGTTTGGTCTGCATGGCCGGACTGCAGGATGCGCCGCGTTCCTGATCTTCGGCTTGCGACAGCCTTGTCGCAGGATGGTAAGATAGGTGTCCGGAATCCATTCTCAACTTCTTTGTCATATGGAACTGCTGAGGGATGACCCTGAACAGCAAACCCTCCAGATCTTGGCGTCCTTTTGGTTGGCTCTTAGGACTTTAACTTTTTGGGTTTCTATATGAACTATTATAAGGGAGCTAAAAGTTTAACTTTTAGGAGGGGTTCAGAAGTCAGCCAAGAGATCAAAATCTGTTTTGCCATGACTTCGTTTGCCGATGCCCAGGAAGGCTGCAAATAGGGTGGTTCTAGGAGGGGTGCTGTGTGGTTAGAAGATAAAAAATGTAAGTGGACCAGCAGCCACGAAACCATAAACCCTAAACCTTAAACCCCTAAACCCTGAACCCCTAAACCCTATAACCCTAAAACCCAAAACCCCTAAACCCCTAAACCCCTAAACCCCTAAACCCTTAAACCCCTAAACCCTAAAGCCCTAAACCCTAAACCCTAAACCCCCGAACCCCAAAACCCTAAACTCTAAAACCCTAAACCCTGGGCCAGCCAAGCTCAGGAAGAAGAGGAAGGCAACGGCTGCTGCCACGACAGACCCAGATGAACTGCAACCCATCATCGACAGCCGCTGCTTGGCTCAGGTGTAGGCTGAGCTGGGTTACGGGTTTAGGGGTGTAGGGTTTTAGGGGTTTAGGGGTTTAGGGTTTACCGGTTTAGGTTTTAGGGGTTTAGGGTTTAGTTCGGAAGTCTTATGGTTCATGGTTAGGCCGTTAGGCGAAGCACAGGACTCAGAGTTTTAGCAAGGGAGTTTGTTGGGGGATAAAGGGTTTTGGGGCCCAGTATACTATGATTATAAGAAAGAACCCTTAAGAATTAGAAAAGGGTTTTGGAGCCCATTATACTACAACTATAATCTGGAGCCCCCAGAATGGCACCGGTAAAAGGTTTAGGGTTTATTGCTTAGGGTTTGAAGTGCAGGATTCCCCGCGCTCCAAACCTCACAGTCTTTGAGGCTTGATACGGTTTAGGGTTTAGGGTTTAGGGTGTAGGCGTTTAGGGTTTCGGGTTTAGGGTTTAGGGTTTAGGGGACAGGCTAGAGTGGTGTGGAGGAGTGCGTTGGGGGTTGGCTTTTGTTTCGGGGTTACGTAGGCGCTGTTCTACATCATTGAAAGTTCCCTAAACCCTAAACCCTAAACCCTAAACTTTGCTGCCCGCTCATTTCCGTCGTAATCCTAACAGTACGAGCAGGACTGCCCTCAAAGTCCGAGGTTAGGTGTGCGGCTCAGGTACTTCATGAAGTGGTTTAGAAGGTTTTGCCGGCCTAAACCCTAAACCCTAATCCCTAAGCCCTAACCC